CGACGCTGCTTCAGAGAACTGGCCATTTGCAGTCTCCATTTCCTCACCAGCTCTCACCGAGGCCCCCAGTGACCTCCAAAGGGGTACATCCAGCCATGTGCCCCCTCAGCAATGGCCAAGGGCCACCGTCGGCCTCTCTGTACTTCCCAGTGCTCCCGGTGCTGGCGTAGGTGCACACCCTCCTGGCCGTCCGCACCTGTCCTCCACCACTGTTGGCCAGCCATTCCTCTCAGCTTCCAGGAGTCCCCTCCTTCCCTAAGGATCTCGCCCTCATCCATATCTCTGCTCTCCTAACTACCAATAGCAAGGGTCCCAGTGCCCCTGCTTGCCAGGGACAGGCCCTGTATGGGCGCTGTTGTGGCATCATTCTTAACAGAGATACTCTTCACTCAGAAGTGTTCAGTTAGGACGATCACTTGCATGGTCCCCTCACTGGTGACACAGACACCCCAGACCTGTGTGTTCCCCTGGATAGCTCAGTGGCAGCTCAGACTCAGCACAGCCAAGGCTGAATGCAGACGCCCTCCCTCCAAAATCTGGCTTCACCCAGCTGTTTCTTCCTGGCAAGGCCTCCTCCAGCCATCCAACTGTGTAACACAGAAGCCCAGGCACCGTCCCTGGGGCTCCCTCACCCCCTCCTCCCATCCCTCCCTGGGCCCCTGGACAGGCCACTGGCCTTGCTCCCGTTACAAAGCCACCTTCCTGATAATGTGCAGTTACTAACCTCGCAGCTGGTCTGCCCGCCTGCCTATGCCAAACCCTTCCAGATCCTTCTTCACCCCAGCAGTCAGAGTTGTCATTGTGAAATGCAAATCAGGTTGCATTTTCTTCTTCTTTCCTCCCTCCTGCCACCCCTGTCACCCTCCCTCTCACACACAGCCCCCTGTGTGGTCTCCCAAGCCTACTGTGGCCTGACCAGATCCTCTCTGCTTTTCCAGGCCCTCCTGACACTTTCCTCCCTCTGTCTGGGACTCCCTGTCCTCTGTCCTTCCTCCCTGGCACCTGCTGCTCCCTCCACCTGAAATGCTCTCCCTTCTGCTCCTCCTGGGCAATGCTCACTCAGCCTCCAAAGTTCATCCATTGTCCTCTGCTCACGAAGCCTTCCCCAACTGCCTGACCCGGTCACATTCCCCCATTATTTGCTGTCCTCTCACTGGAGCCTCTCCTTCCTGGTAGCCTCTCAGCAAGGCAGTTTCGTGTGTGTGTCTCCACTAGACGAGAAGCTATCTGAGGGCAGGGGCCCTGCGTGGCTTCCAGCAGGAGGTGGCTGCCAGGCCTGCAAGATCGTCAGGGCCTGCTCCAATGTGACATTTCCAGAGGGGCCCCCGGCCTCAGGCCACGCTGGTTACTTGGATACACTCCTTGCCCAGGGCCCCATAGCCCCTTAAAGGCAGGGTCTTTCTGGACATGCCTGGCCCTGACCTGGTCTCCCCACGGAGACCTGCCCCAGGGATGCTGTGTGGGAACAGGGCACAGGCCCTCCTTTTCAGAGCCCACAAGATCTCACTTTCCCCAAGCCCAGCTTCCTCAGGAGTCACACCCCAGCTGCCCTGCATGGATCGCTGGCTTGCACCAACTCAGTCAGACCCCACCTGGCCCTGGGAAGGAGGGTCCCTGTCCCTGTTTGACAGGTTAAGACACTGAGGCCCAGAGAGCTGAAGGGGCTGGCCAAGGGGACGGGCTTGGGCACTCCATGCTCACACTGCCGTTGCCACCTCATCCATCCGGGGAAGCTCCTTTTAAACAAAAGGGGAAGGCGAATCGACACACGGCCGTCCTTCTCAGTAGCCCACTTCCACCTCTTGCGAGCTAGACAGCAGTCCCCAAGTCCCCCCTTGTGTCGGGTGGGCTGCCCAGCTGTGAACACAAGGACACCTCCGGTTCCGTCCTGTGAATGCGGATATTAGTGATCCCTTCCTTCAGGGACTGTGGGTATCACATAAGATGAGGCAGGCTTGGAGTCCTGCAAGGTACCTGCCGCATGGCAAACTCCTTATGGATAGCACAAGGACTCGTTTTGATGCTGAAAATGATTCTCTGGGACCGGTGGACCCCAGTCTGGGTCCTCACAGGCGCTGTGCACCCCGTCGCCGCGAGATGGCGGTGTTGCGCCCCTCCAGCCTCCTCTACTCTGCAATAGGGCGCTGGATGTTAAAATTCCTAACTGGTAGTAAACCGAGCCTGGCGTTAAACCTGCACCCAGAGCCTGCCCGCTGCTCCCCACTCCCTCGAATGGCTTAGGTGAGGATACTCAGAGCCAGGGCAGGCGTTTGGGGCTGCCCAAACCAGCCGCTCTGCCTGCTTTCAGAAGCTTCCCCTGGGGCTCTTCTGGCTCCGAGTCCGAGCCCCCTGCGGTCAGTCCTCCTTGCCCCGCCCATGGTGTCATCATTTGCAGTAGAGCAGGAGAGTGGTCATTTGCAAATGTCTCAGAGGGCCCGCTCCAGCCCCTTCCATGGGTCTCAACTCAGGCCGAGGACATGACTGCGCTCCATGCTTCAGGCATGGAGCGCAGATCACAAATCCAACCCCACTAAATCTAGAGTCCATGGGTCCCAAGCACCGGTCATTTGCTGACCACTGTCGCAATGTTTTTTTATCACTCCTATCAATAAAAGCTTCCTTTTTTTCCTTAAGTAGAAGTTAAGAGTACAAATTAATATAAAAACAAAGCAGTATTAAACTTCAGTGAGGTAGAGTTGCTTTCTCTCTCAAAAAAAAGGGGGGGTCATTAATAAATGTTAAGACTTTTTAAATGTGTATTAAGTACCAAACAGACTTTCTCTTTGAGGACTCAAAAAGTCCTCAGAAGACTCGTGAAGGAGCAATACTTGGAAAAGGGTTAAATGAGATTATTGCTTTATCCAAGAGCCACCAGATTATCAGAATCTCACACCTTGGGCATTCCTTTGAAGAGTTTTAGCTCTGGACACAAAGTACACTTGGCCCTTGAGTTGATCTGTCTTGCTCTGTCACCCAGGCTGGAGTGCAATGGGGCGATCTTGGCTCACTTCAACCTCCACCTTCCAGGTTTAAGCGATTCTCTTGCCTCAGTCTCCTGAGTAACTGCGACTACAGGCACAGGCCACCATTCCTGGCTAATTTTTTTTGTATTTTTCGTATAGACAGGGTTTTACCATGTTGGCCAGGCTGGTCTCGAACTCCTGACCTCAAGTGATCCAGCCGCCTCAGCCTCCCAGAATGCTGGGATTACAGGCTCGAGCCACGTAATTGCAACTGGCCATTAGATGTGTTCTCGAAAGCCCTGTGATAAGCATTGGGACTAGGAGGAGAAGCTACATGCAGATAGAAGCCAGACCTTGGCGTCCTGGGAGGAGCTTCCCTCAGTGGCCAGGAGGTGAGGGACCCCAGCAGAACCTGGCCTCTGCGTGGCACAGTGGCGTTGAGGGACTGGCTGAATCCTGCAGGCCTTCCAGAGCTCCAGAATACTTAATAAAGTATTTCACTTAAAATCGAATTTGTAACTGCACTGGAAGTGGCTGATTGACCAATGTGATACATCAGGTATCAGCACGTTGGAGCCACCAACCTGTCGGCTTGTAGCATGAGGTCATCTTGACTTCATAAGCCTGAGGGCCTCTCCCAAAATCTGTGAGTTAGAGCACACACACAGAGAACTGTCTAAAACTTAGAATTTGTAGCTTTTTATCTGTATGAATCAGAGTTCCCGCTCACTACTCTGCAACCACAGGAACAGGCTGGCTTAGAAACCAGCCGCAGACATCTCAAACCCCTGCTGCCCACGTGTTGCAATCCTCAAAGCAGCCTTGTGGTTGAAAGTGGAGATTTTACTCATGACCTAAGGATCATGTCAGCACCACCCTACAGCAAAGCAGCCGATTGCTGTACCTCTTCTGAAAGGAATGTGAGGCTTCCACAACCATAACTGGCACCGGCCTTAGACCCAGGCAGGAGGGCACCTGCCACGGACCCCACACTTAAGTGTCACAGATCCACATGCAGGACGGGCTCCTGTGTCCCTGGGATACAGCATTCAGTGCTGGTCCAGACTTAGCCTCTCTTGCACAGCCACTGCTCAAGCCTTGGAGAAGCGCTTCTGGATCTCCATCTTGATGACTGAAACAAAAGGCCACTGCGTCTAATGCTGTGAAGGCGGGTCTTCACCAACAGAGACAGACATTGCTCTGGAGCAGAGGCAGGGGCTGCCTGGTGGAAGAGCTGAGGTGAGAGAAGAGGTGCAGTCATTGAATTTTCTGGTCCCTCCTCTACAGCAGGAGCCCAAGAGTCTCTTTCCTGACGAAATCCAGCTTGCCTTGGAGCACGTGTCATTTGTGAATTGCACTTGACTGCATTCAATACTCATCAGACGGTGCCAGCCCCTCCACAGGATGCACTGTCATCTCTGACATCTTGCTGACCCTCAGGCACATAAAAACAGAGCTATATCCAGTTTTTTTTTCAACTCTATTTTTACATAGGGGTACAGAGGCTAGAAAATATTTTATTAGCACCCAGAGATGGGGCCTGAGCCTGGCACTGTCACTTACGAGCCATGTGGCCATTACTAAATTTACAGTAAGTAAATGTATCAGTTTTGGCTGGGTATACTGGCTCATGCCTTAATGAGCAATTTAATTCCAGCAATTTGGGAGGCCAAAGCAGAAGGACTGCTTGAGCGCAGGAGTTGGAGACCAGCCTGGGCAACATAAGGAGACCCCCATCTCTACAAGAAATAAAAATAGTATTAGCCAGATGTGGCGGTGAGCACCTGTAGTCCCAATTACTTGGGAGGCTGAATGGGGAGGATTGCTTGGGTCCAGAAGGTCGAGGCTACAGTGAGCTATGATCACGCCACTGCACTCCAGCCTGGATGAGAGTGAGACCCTGTCTAAAAAAAACAAGTAAATATATCAATTTTAATGTATAAAACAATGTAAACCAGTGAAATTGATTTTTTTATGTAAAATTTTTCACATTGGCCTTCAAGTGAGATGTTTTATTAAAAGGTTTCTGTGGTTGTTTGGTAAACAGAATTTGAAACGTGAGCAACACGGTTGGCAGGCCCTGGTGAACTGCACTGCTGACCTGGAAGGCCGGGCTGCCCCCTCCATGGCCCTCGTGTTCATTCTCGCGTCGGTCCTCGGCGGCTGCTTGTGGTGGTGACGATGCTGCTGGCTGCTGCTGGCTCCGGGCGCCTCCTGGAATGAGCTGTGATTTTTGTGTCTCCTTTTGCAGCTCTGACAAGAAAGCTCACATCAACACAGAAGGACACTTACTTCTTCAGGTCTGCAAAGGCCGCCTCTCAGAGAGGCCCAGGTGCCCACAGACGTGGCCCCCAGGGCTTTTCCCGCAGCTGGCATGTACAACCCTCTGAACATTTCTGATGTCATCCACCTTATCTTCTTAGGATTTGTGCTGTCTTTAAGCAGCTGCACTGTTCACCCTGGGATCTGGGGCAAAGTGCTGGTGTCCACATGAGGAGGGGCAGGAGGTGTCCCTGTGGGTGGGGAAGCAGTGCTGGGTGGAGATGGCTGGCAAGGGGACGTGGCAGAGAGACGGAGGTGCATTGCTCTAGAGATGGGGGTGCGTTTCTCCTCCCTCACAGCGGCTGCCCATGCAAGGACAGTTCTTAGGAGAATAACCATGGACAGTCAATGACATGGGCCGAAATTTGGTGGGGGTTGTGGATCTCAGCTCTCAAGGAGGGTTCTGCCCAGAGCTCCCCGCCAGGCCGGCAGCCTCCTGAATATTATTCTCCCAGAGGAAGGCTCTGAGCTGACTGAGCCCTGGCCTGATTGTAAGTGTGTAGAGGGGTGGAGGAGAGTCGGTCCAGCAGGGGGGTTCCACGGAGAATTTCTTCCCTTGCAGGAAGTGGGAGGGAGGCAGGACAGGTAGAAATCTCCATCCCCAGGGTTTCCATATCCTCACAGCCAGCAGGCCAGCCTGGGAGGAGGTACCAGAAGGGCAGTGAGGTTGGTCTGAGTTTGAACCCTGTGCCAGCACATGCGAGCATGTGTCTGGGCAAGGCACGTCCTTCAGCAGGTGTTTACTGAGCATCTGTGTGCAGGGCCCTGTGTACCTGTTGTCACAGCAACCCAACCTGCCCTCAGCCATACCTTGGCAAGATGTGCTCCTTTTCCAGGTGCCACCACTGAAGCTGCAGATGCTCTGGTGGAGGCACAGCAGAGGACGGGAGCAGGGCCTGCTGGGCCCTCAGGCAGAGCCACCCTGAGGCTGCCCACCACTGCCCAGGCAAGACTTTGTGATGCAACAAATGGCCCAGGCTGGCCTCTTGTCCCCTGGCTCCTCTGTTGTCAGTGGGAGGGGGGTCCCTGGGGGAGGGACAGCCCCACTGTGTCCACTCCTCCCCGGCCAGCCAGTCACTTCCATCACCTCTGCCACACCCGGCCCCTTCATCATCAGGTAAGGAGGGCCAGGAACAAGGAAGGATAGGGGCTGCTCCAGGAGGGGGTTGGTGTCCTGGAGAGGCCTGGTAAGGCCAGGCAGGAGGAGAGGCTCCCAGGAGGTGGCCCTGGAGTGAGGCGCTTCAGCTTGTGGACTTGGGAGCAGGTGACCTGGGTGGGAACCCAGTGCCACTGCATGCCTGTCATGTGATCTTGGGAAAGTGCCAGGCCCTGGCACTCGTCCCAGGTGCAGAATGCACCCAAAACGCATCAGCCATTGTCATCAGGCCCCAGAATCAACCACCACTCATGCCTGTCTCAGCCAAGCTTGGGGGCTGTCCTCTGGTCACCAGCCCCACATCGATTCCCACCCACTGCCACATTGGGGTCTGGCCCCTTCGTCCTGGTGGATGGGCAGGAGCGGGCAGCAGGAGCGGGTCTCCCCTCTGTGTCTGCATCCTGTCACTCTCACCCGGCTCTGGCTGCCACTCGCCTGGGGGAAGACTTGGGACCCTGGCAGAGTCGGGCCCAGCATTAGGTTTTCTGACCCTGAGCCTTGTCTGTAAATGAGCTTGCCCAGGGGACTCTGTAATAAACTAGAGGCCTTCCAAGGACGCCAATGGCCACCCCAGCCTCTCCCACCACAGAACGGCAGGTGACCGTGGCCTCACTGGGCTTTTGGTGCTCAGGTGTTCTCAAGTTTCTCTGTCCAGCAAGCTCTGTTCGGGGCTGTGCGGGAACCACCTCCTGGGTTCTGCAGGAAAGGGCAGGGCTGCAGTTTGACCTCAGGTCTCTCCAGACTGTACCTCTATATAACCCGTGGCTGCACATGAGAACCACCTGGGAAGCTTTGGCCAACACTGACACCCAGTTCCCAACCCCAGACCACAGCTGGAGTCCCTGGGCAGGGGCCCCACCCAGCCCTGTGATTCCCAGCTCCACCAGCAGAGGCGGCAGATCAGGGGTCCAGGGCTTCAGTGCACTGGTGTCCCCGTCGGGATGCTCCAGCCCTGCTCCCACCCCCTCAGTCACTTCTCCCGGTGCGCCAGACTCACGCTTGGTTTTGGAGTCTTTGCCCAGGAGGGACCCCAAACCTGTTATAGTCTTTCCAGTGGTGGCAGCCGCTGGGGAACCTTCAGCCCTGAGTGTGGGAACCCATACTGGGACCTCATCGGCATGGTAGGTCCAGCCGGATTTGACTCTGGACAGGCCCACTCCCTGGAGGGACACCTGGTGGCTTGCACACACAAAGCCCACAGAGCCTGTTAGTTGGAGGCTCCTGAGGCTGAGAGCTGTCAGGAGCCTCAGCCACTCTGCCCCCACCCCTGCCACTTCCTGACAGGATGACCTTGGGAAGGCTGTTTGGACTCAGCTTCCTCAACTGTAAAATGCCTAGAACAGCAGCTCCCTCGTGGGAGGCTGAGACGCCCATGGTGTAACACAGGCAAAGTGCTGAGCTCCGCCTTTGGGTGTGGTGGGGGCAGTGAGTGCTCGGAAATTGTCCCCACGGCTCCACTGTCAGGCGGGCCGCCCTCTGTAGGAGCAGCATGGCCTCAGTGCACGCTCGCCCTGTGTGAGCAGAGTGTTACTCCCCTCCCGTGCTGTCTCTTTCCCGGTTTAAACATCTCCAAGGTTGACAGCAAAGGCTCCTGGGGCTCCAAGGTCACAGCCAAGGGCAGGTGAAGTCAAGTTCAGCCACACTCCCCCTCGTTCCCATCATTTTGCAAGATTTCACCTCTGGCAAACACAAGGCCCAGAATGTTCCATCGGGGCAGCCGCAGGTGCCCAACTCGGGGAGGAAAGAGGCGCCAAGCGACCCCCTCCACCCCCTATGTCTCTTGTCTCCTTGATGCACCTCCCCCACCCCTGCGGAGCCCACAGCTCTGCCAGAACCCGGACCTGAAACTTGAGAGAAAGATGATCCTCTACGGATTCCTCATCCGTCCCGCCATTGGGGTTTAATCCCCCTGCAGTTCCTCCTGAATGCGTGTCCCGTACCTGACACCGCCAGTGACCACAAACTAAGTGGCTTAAAGCAACAGAAACGTACCCTCTCATGGTTCTGGAGGCTACAAGTCAAACGCCAAGGCTCCGGCAGGACCCACACCCCGGGGAGGGTCTTCCCTGACTCCTCCAGCTTCGGGGGTTTCCAGGCGCCCCTTGGTTCTCACCGCTGCCTCTCTGGTCACGTGGCCTTCCTCCCAGGCTCCTTCAGTCTCCCCCTTTCATATAAGCACCCTTGTTGGATATTGGGCCACCCTGAATCCAGGACGATTCCAAAATCCCTGACTGAATGATGTCTGCAGAGACCCCTTTTCCAGTCAAGGCCACATTTACAGATTCCGGCACTGGGAAGCCAACATGTCATCCTCAACACCCTGTCTCCTCTCCCACAAGATGCAGTGGTGTCTCAGCAACCTGGAGCCATGCACGGTTTCTGCTGTGGTGGTTCACTTGAAGACGCTTCCTGCTTTTCCCGACAGTGGGTGACACTCCCCACTCTCCATGCCACTTCATGTTCCTTCGGGAGTGGAGGGGATTGGAAGAATAATTACCCAGACATTCAAGACGCCAAGTCCCTTGGAGAGAACCCAGACCAGCCTCTTCATTTACGCATGAGAAGCCTGAAGCCCAGGTTGTGGGTTTTGAACCAAGCTCACAAATCCATCTGATTGTCTACAACCTCACCACCACCCTGGTGTCTCGCCCAACCTCTGTAGCAACAGGCCCTTCTCCCAGCAGCCGATGGTGGTGGCCTTTCTGCAACCGCCACAGGAGCTGGCTCCCACACTGCTCTTCCTCCCAGCCCCAGCTGCCTCGGGGTGACAGCAGCCTCCATCTCAGCCCTGCTCATCCCAAAGCTCAGCCATGGCGCTGAACCCAGCAGATCCCCATCCCCTCCTGTATCGGCCTTGGCTGCTTTCCCCACTTGAGGGGTATCTCTGGACCCAGCTTTCCTGGCTAAGGCCTTTGGACTTAATCTTACAACTGCAGAAAGTCTCTCAGCCCCCTAGACTGGGTTGAGGGGCATCTTCTCAGCCCGCCTGGCAGCATGCGCCATGGGTGTGGCATTTGCCTCCTGCTTGCTCCCCTCCTCTGTCTGACAGGTCCTGCCATTTGCCCCCACAGAGTCAGCCCCGTGCTGGCTGAACAAATAAACTGTGTCCTGCCCCAATTCCCTGGCCAGAAAGAACAGCTCCGGCCTGCTGGCTGTCTAGTGCTCCCCATGGCCCCTCCAAAGGGAGGACCAACGGCCACTCCTGGGGAGCTTAAACGTGTCCGACTAGGGCTGACCTTTCTGGTGTTGTGTCTCCAGGAACAGAAAGGCCAGTTTCAGAGAGAGGAGGCTGTGGTCCCGTTTGTCTCTGGCTTGAGGAATGCCATGTCGGCCCCGTTCAGGCAAGGGTACCTCGGGAGCACGTACTATGTGCCAGGCATTTGAGATATACCAGGGAAGAGAGCAGAGGACACCCTGCCCTCTGGGAACCTGCATCCCACCGTGGGGATTCAGATAAACAAATGAGCAAGGAGTGTGTAGCTCCTAAATCGGCGATGAGGCTCTGTAGGAAATGCAGCCACGTGAGTGGGAGTGAGTTCCGGTTTCGTGTAGGGAGCGCAGCCTGGCTGGGAACATGTCGGAGCACAGACCTGAACTTACTGAGGCAGTGTCGTGTGGGCGTCTGAGGGAAGAGCGTTCCAGGCCCAGGGAATAGCAAGGACAAAGGCCCTGGGGTAAGCGTGAATCAGGAGCAGGGAGGAGCCCAGGGAGATGGAAACGGAGACGGGGACAAGGGACCCAGCTCAGCAGGGACTTGTCGATATCCAGGGTGGTTATCAGAGGAGTTTGTTCTGATCTGGGTGTCCTGGCTGCTGTAGGGAGGGTGCAGTAGGGGCACTGGTCAGCTGGGAGGCTGAACCCAGGATCGCAGCGAGGGGCCCAGGGGTCAGAATCCGAATCTATTTGCAGGCGGAGCTGGTGGGTTTGCAAAGGGATTGGGGTGTGAATAAAAGAGGGGGCAAGGTTGACTCAGGGTTCAGCCTGAGCCACTGAAGCAGGAGAGCAGGGCTGGGGAGGGAAGGCTGAAGGTGCAGGCAGCACCAGCTTCGGCGCCTGGGCAGGGAGCAGTGCGAGCCCCCAGAGAGAGGAGGTGGCTGGGCTGCCCTGCCCCTGGTCCGCTCTTCACCTGGAAGTCCCTTTCTTCTGCTGAGCTCATGGGCAGGGGCAGGGCCTCACCTGCCCATCTAGAGGGGACCCAGCCCACCCGGCCCGCCCAGAGCCCCACAGAGGGCACCTGGGACACAGCCCACTGCCCTCACAGCCCTGCAAGACTCCAGGTCTTGTCATCGCCCTGCCCACTTCCCTGCTCCTTGCCACCTAGAGCAGGAGGTAGCACACCTGCCAGGGCACCCCGCCTGTGGGGTTGGCAGGCCCACCAAACCCTCCTTCCGGGACATGGAAGTGTCAGAGAGACAGCTCCTCATTGAGGGTCTGGCCAGCATACAGAAACCCTGGACCCCTGCCAGCTATGGACTCTTCCAAATCAGGGGAAAAGACCCTGAACCCAGGCCAGCTGACCCAGCGTCCAGGTCAAGCTCTGTCTCCCCAGCTCCTCCGCGGCTAATAACAATAATGATGATAACAATGGCAGCAACCATTGCTGCAGAGTGTGCCAGGCACAATTCCCAGTGCCACCTGTCATTCTGTCCCGAGAGATAGCTACTGTTTTCCTCCATTTTGCCCTGAGGAAACTGAGGCCCAAAGTGGTTAAGTCACTGGCTCGGGCAGCACAGCTGGGAAGCAGCTGGTTCCTGACTGCACTGCCTCTTGGCCCTGTGGGGTCAGCCCTCTCCCACTCTCTCCATTACTGCCATCATCACCCCCAGAGGTCCACACCCTCGGGTCCCACTGCTCACCTCCGACTACCGGGCCCTGCCAGCCTCTGGGCCTCTTCATGTGCCGTTCTCTCCACCTGGAATGCTTTTCCCGTGGCCGGCTCGCCCCCCACTCCTCGGGCCTCA